CCGATGAAGGGCTTCACGGAGTTGTCGGGTGGTGGATCCGCGGGATCGGAAGGACCAAGTGGCCCAGCGCGGTGGATCCGTAGGGGGCCCGAACTCAAAGAAGCTGAGAACAATCCAAATCGGCCAGTCGGTATAAGTCACCATCGAGGCACTTGAAGAGAGGTCTTGCTGGGGGATACCAGTGCGGCCATCTCCGTGGTGATCCGGGGTGCTTATTGCGATCAAGGCATTTGAAGTGCAGGGCGGCCAACTTGGTTGAGCTCGTCGAAGAAGGATGGCCATCTGCCGAGCATGTGCCTCACTGCCGGCATGCTCACGAAACCCCTGTCGAAGCCGGCATTCGTGAAGTGCAGGAACCGCTTGGGCATGGGGGAGGCGTTTCGCATGGAGGATATCTTCAAGAACAGCAGAACTGAGACCGTCCCCATCCAGGGTGGAGTTGATGTGGACAACATCAAGATCGTGAGGGTGATTGCGGTGTCACGCATGGCGATGGAAGAGCTACTTCCTGGAGATCCTGATGGCGGAGCTCATCGCGGTGGTGGGAGATCATCCGATGGGGTTGGGATTGGGTTGCAGGGACAAGCAGTGTTTCAAAGACCATGAGACCCCAATCACGAACTGAGACGGCGGCAAGCAGCACCGCGGGGCCGAACAGACTGAACAAGATGCCCGTTGGGCCCACACAAGAGGGGGAGTTCACGGCAGCTCAAGGCAATCGCCAAACGGTGAGAGCTTCGCGATCGGTGTTGGGCTGTTGGGCACGGAGCACGTGGAGTACTACCGGGAGGTGGAGACGCGCGCAGAAGAGTGCTGGGCCTTCCTTGAAGCGTGGCGTCAGCGAGTTCCACTTGGCGGCCTTCAGGCAGCGCTGTGGCAGGTGATATCCGCGGAATGAAGGTCTGCAAGAGCCAGAGGGCGTCCTGCCAGAAGAGGAAGGCCTGGAGACGGTGGTGATCACAGTGGAGTGGCCTCATAAAGCGCATCAGACTGCTGCGAGCCCGGAGGAATCTGCAGGGATCCCACCAGAAGGCGATCATGGCGGTCTTCACTGTTAAAGTTCGTGGAGATCATAGAGGCCAAAAAGGGAATTGCGTTTCGGAAAGAGTTCTGCTGGAGGCTGGAGCACATCGCTTCGCAAGAACGGCATGAAAGTCGAGGAAGTGAGTGGCCAAGAAGTGGTTGTCGTGCAAGAGGACCTTTTCGAGTTGGGAGTAAGGAGACCAGGCAAGAGCTCTACATTTACGTGCGTGACGCGATTGCGGTTGGTCCCCGGATGCCCGTGTGCGCGTGTGCCTACGATGTAGTCAGGGGGAGTGTGAACCCTTGATAGTCGCTCTCATTGGCTCAAGGAAAAGATTCACACGGGTTAGTGCGGACAGTTTCAAGAGAGATCCCAAACTGGGCAAACAAGACCTGAACAAACCATCGCCAGTGTTGGACAGCTCGAAAAAAGAAAAAAAAAGCCAGGTCGATCTTCGACGGCAAGAAAAGCTGTGGGTCCTGGCGACTAGTCGACAAACGTATCTAATACTGCCTGGCTGCTAGCAGAGCATCAAGCCCGACATGAGTCTACCACAAAGGATATTAATTATTACTTTTTGTGAGTTCCATGTTAACATGCAGAAGTTTATAAGAGTTATTATAACGCCTTTCATGCCTCTGCACGTTACCTTCCCAGCAGTAACCTCTGATTGAATTGTTTCAACAAGATGATGCACGCCCATGCATCTAGATCCATCACAATCCGCGTCGCTTGTTGCCAGAAGGGCTCGCCTGACTTGCCTTGGTTGAAACAGCCTGCAGGTTTGGAAAGGAAGTGCTTCGTGCAAAAGCTGGCCAATTGGCTGGACCAGCTGGTCACCTCCCGTTTCGCCTCGCTCTGTTGCAACACGCAAACTACGTACCTTCTGGGATTCATTGGTACAAGTACCACATGTCCCTGCCCGGCCTCTGACACCGGCAAAACCACATCTTATGGCTACTCCCTCAAATTGTCGGAAGTGCACTAAGGCGGCCCGTAACGGATGAGTCCCCAAGCAGAAGCTTCGCCTTGGTCAGAGGCCAACGTTGGAAACGGTGCCGGCCAGCTTTCCGCACCGCGGTTGATTTCCCACTCTTTTTCACACATCCTTCTGTGCAGAAACTGCCCCGCTTCCCCTGGGACTTGAGCAATGTTCTGAAGAGCAGGATCCGTGAACAGAATGGGTGGGGTACCACTGCACAAAAAGTCTCCGAAACTCTGCAAACCCGTTCTGAAAGGACCAATCGCTGCCATTTGTTCTGCAATACTGCCCAGTCTTACCAGGCACTTTCATAACAGCACTGCGGCATTGATTGGTGTTTCAAGTTGACAGGGCTGCTGCACATCTCTCCAAATTGGAGCTCCGTTCGAACCCCTAGGCATGTCGACCAAATGATATTCAAGCTTTAGCCATGCCCAGAGTAACGTGGAAATGATACCCCACCCATAAAGCTAATTCCCCTGGCGAGAAACATTTGCAACGAATCCCAAGTCCCTGGTTCCGGGTTTGGGCTGTCAACTCGTTAACTTCTTTGTTTCTTTGTTGCGCCGTCAAGTCTCTCTGTTGGTTGGTGCTTGCACCGAAATATAACCTTTCCTGGCGCGACAAGATTCACAAACGACTGTTTTGGAGTAAGGGAGTTAAAGGGAAACCTTAACTTGTCGGTCTTTCAAGCATAGTGGTTGCTGGCTGAGGGCGAAGCGTCCCTCAATATATACAACTGGCGAGAGAAATCGCTAGTTTAGTATTGGTTTAGAATTGGCCTACCTTAGTAGTGGATTGGGCCTGCAGGTGCATAAGAAAACAATAGGTGGACCTGTATTATTAGATGGACGTGATTGCATTATATTGTCAAATTCTAAGTTGGATGCAAAATTAGTGAATTGCAAGAGTTGCTTCAACTACCCCCCCATGGCCAGTTCAGTTCCCGAAATTCCGGTTCTATGAATTCTATAATCTAATGCAAGTCCTTCCGTCTGGCAGCACGACTGAACATAGAGGAGTGCCTTACACACACACACACACACACACGCTTATCTGGTGCAATCTCGGGCCACTGCTGCACTGCGGATCATGCCGACTGGGCCATGTGCGTAGGACGCTCGGAACTCGATAGCGCGCTACGCCAAGACGCCCCCTCTTTGCGAATGCCGAAGGCGCCAGCCGGCATGACGGCCGATGGACACACGGAAATCTCCAGCGCACACCCGGGATGCTGACTTGGCAAAGTGCGCGGCTCCGCCCTAGAAAAAAAGAGCTGATCTTCTTAGTTTGGATCTCAGAGAAAAAATATCCCACCACCAACCCGCAACGAGGTGCCACTGAGCAACTTGGACAGGTATGCCAATGTCGTCCCCCAAAAAGTCAAGGACAATCCGCTAGTTAGCTCACCGTCAGTGAAACTGAGCACTAGGCTGCTGAATCTCTGGAACACTACGTAGCAACACATCTAATTCACAGACTGAAAATCAAGTAGCCTCTCTCACTGACATGGAACGCACCAGAAAGTCCCTTTGAAGGGAAAATGGTCTTCCATGACCCCTCAGTCAGGTTCCATGGGCACACCCTGGGCAAATATCTGCAAGTGACACCCCCAAAACCCTCAAAGGGTAGCCAGAAAATCTGGGCATACCATTAGTCATAAACTGGAAATCGGAAACCTTGCAGGGACCCTCATGGGCAAGCTCGGTTTCCTGGCGAGACACCGTCACACACCGGCATAACGATGGCCTACCCAAGCTCAGGTGAACCAAAGTGGCCGCACCAATTCCCCTTGTCTACAGGATTGGATTGCAGGTGAGCCCCCTAACTTGCGCAAATGTAGATCAGAATCCCGCCGAAAGCTTCGATCTGGGCGCCCGAAATCGACACCCAGAGAAGTCGACCCGCAGCCTCGCGATCGCCGCGGGCGTTGTTTGGGGGACGCCGAAGCTCCCGTCTCTTCCGGCCAATTCTGGGTCACCCTATGGGCGTTGGCCGATAAGACGGGCATATATCTCACCTCCGCTCTCAAGAGCCAACTTGAAAAAGCACACATGCACTCCTTTAATAGAAGAGACCGGGCGTTGGTATGCACGAAACCATGGTATTCGCAGTGTTTTCTGAGCTTTGCAGCGCTAAAACTACATCCCACCTGTGATAAAACTGAGGCCTCTGATGCCTTGAGGATCCGGGTTTTGGCCTTGAGGCAAGGTCTGCAAGCTCCAAAAAGCCGTCCGGGGCCCGTGGCCGTAAATTTCTGCACGCACCGCTGAGCACAGTCATGCCGTGCCATCAGCTCAGCATTGCAAGAACTGGAAATGCCACCAAACTCCTCCAAATAGTTGGCTTCCTGTTGAAATCCAAAATGGGCTCCAAAGAAACAGTTCTTGAAGCCAGGGACCAATGGGGGATTCTCCAAGTCTGCGAAAGCATGAGAACAAATTTAAATGTGCATTTACGAAACGGGCAAGGACATGGTCTGTAATGCCTTGTAAACGACAGCCGTGTCAGCCCTGTCGACCGGCAGTCTCGCAATGGCCGGGGTCCACAGTGCAGCGCAGCGAGTCCAGTGGCTTCAGCATGTCCGGATACAGCGCACGTGCAAGGGGGAATTCCGCCAACTGGGGATTCGAACCGCCCCTTGGACCAGAAAACCGAGTAACAGCTCAAGGTAACAGAAATGGCATCATTCACCAAGGCAGTTGTTTGAGCCGATCTTCTCTTTCCGGCTCGCTCTGCCAACGACTTGAATGGGTGTTTCTCCATATCGGGGTTTCTGCAGTGTCCATGAGAAGCTCCCGAATGAGGTAGGGCGCCTGCGGTGCCTTTACAGCCAGTTGAGGCGGATTCTCCTTGAAAGTACCTCGACCTCAAAAATCTGAGCGCCTAGAGCGCTCCGTCTAGTGTGCAAGTCGGAGGCGTGTGCCAGAGACCAGCACTGCACACGTGACCCACGGACTGTTGTTGGGTTCTCCAAGAGGACATCGGACCATTGGGGCCCGTCCTTGTGTCTGTGGGAAATGTGGGGTGTACCTCTTTGTCGTCCTTTGATCCACTCCCAGGTGACCTGACCGTTGAAGGGTTCGATTCCATGATGGACATCCCGCTGGCACACCTTACTGTTATACCAAGTATGTCGTCACATCCAGAACGAAACTGGGGTTCTCGTGAAGTTGAACAAACATAACGTCACAACTGCGCCGTCAAAACTGTGGTGCATGCTCACAAAGCCCTGGGAAATCCTGGTACTGCCGCACTTCCCAGATTCCAAATTCAAACAAATCCATAACTATACTTGGAAACCTGTAAACAGCTGTTTGACCATTCCAGGGGCGGCATCTTCTTCACTCTTTCTATGGAGCCTTCTTTCCAAACTGTCCAAAAAGCACCCAGCACCCAAACAAAAACAACCACAGACCGCGTTTCTTCTAAAGGAAACCATGGTTGAAAAGAATGAGAAACCCGGAAACAAGTCCTGAGCCTCGAGCCTCTGCTGTTCAGCCGCTGGTGTGCTGAGTAGCATGGCTCTCTTCGCTCGGAAGCTCAAAGGCTGATGGCATACGTCCAATGAACCTTTGGGCATTTTGGACTCTAATTGAGCCATAGGGCCATCGCCAATTACCCAACTGAACAGTGGTTCATACAAGAGGTTCACATGGACGCGCGCAGTCGCCCAGGGAAGCTCGCGAGAGAAAAGCAGGACTCAGTCCAATATCAGCGTCCCGCTGCTGGTGGCGTTCCTGGGATGATTCAACGGGCTTCTGTTGAAGGTACCCATCCAAACGCTCCCGATTCGTTTTTGGCCCTCAAACAGCCAGGGTTTGAGACCCCAAAACCCTTCTGGGGTGTCCAATGCAGGGTCTGGGTCTTCCATTGGAAGCCCCAGGAGCGTCTGGTGGGAGGCGAAAGAAAATCGCCATGTTCTGGGCTACCCAAAAGGGGTCTGTTTCAGTCATGGACCTCCAAGCAAAGCGTTGGGGGGTGGGGGCAATCCCTGGAAAGGCCTGGGAGAAAGCCAAGGTAAGCCACGAATATGCACGATTCCATAGCCCCGCTTAGAGGTCCATGATTCAGAGACTCAGACCGCCCGAAGACTGCCAGTCGACGCTCTGGGCTTGATGAGCCTTAACTAGAGGTTTGAAGGGGGGAGGGGGGATTCGCAGACAGTTGCAGAATTGCTCCCCCATCCTCATAGGAACAAGCTTCTGTTGCAGACGCCGCACAAGTCGCCCTTGCCAATTTAAACTTGCAAACCGGCCAGAAACAGCGGATATCTTGCTACTGTGTGATTACTAGAATTGTTAGTCAAGTCCAGGCATTTGGGGAGGTGAGAGGACAATCAAGGGTATGGCCCAAAACAAGCCTTCCCCCTGATTTCTCCCTCCAATTTACAGCATATGGCGGCATTTGTGTTAAGTGAACAAATTGTGGTAGTTTTGTACATCATAGCAAGTCTGTGGGTGTCCATGGCCTTAATATGTGCAGGACGTACTATGATTTGACTTTCCAATTGCAGCCCCCTTGGCCAAACGGCCAGAACAAAGTTCACTAAGGTCTGGACAAAGCAAGCGACCTGAAGGTCACTGATTACCCCAAGGTAGACTTAAATGACTTAAACCCAAGTACAAGCTCTTGGGATCACACTGTGACCCAATTGGAAGTGAGTAGTAAGCGTCCGCATCTCCGTCTTCAGCTGGTCCTTCGCCATAGCCTGCGGCCATTCGACAGCTCCCTGCTTGCCCTCCCAAACATGGAGCCCCAAAAGGATCCACAAAGCAAGCGGACTCGAATGGACCAAGCAAAAAACAAAAGGCCGAGCAGGTCAGAATTGGAGCACGGAGGTTGGCCACTAGGCTACACCCCACTACCCCCATAGAAACCACAGGAACGGGCTCCAGCTTGCGCCCAGGCAAATCACCTCAACAGAAAGCGTCTGTTTGGAACCGCATGGTGTCAAGGTCCGCTCTGAGATCAGACCCCTCGCTTGCCACGGTGGGACTGTCGAAATCCTGGAGCACTCCAACATAGACATTGCCCCCCTGTCAAGCACCTCCCCAAACCGTGATATCTTGAGTCTCCTTCTTGGGTTGGGGCCTTTTGGGGGTTCCATGTAAATTTGTAGGGAGTAGATTGACATGTTCGTTTGTCAGTGGCCTCGTGGGGTCACCCCCCCAACCCGATATGCACTTGCGAGCCCTCGACCTAGCCAAGGATTCAAACACATGCCGCTCGGGCCTCTTATTGAAAAATGGTCTTCCAGGACCCCCAGCTGGGTAACCCATGGAAGCCCTGGTTTTCTGAATGAAATCTCCAAGGTTGTTAAAAGACGTAATTGTATGCAATTTCCAGAAATTGCAAAGAGCAAGCATAATGGTTTTGGGGTAGCCCGTTTTTCGATCATGCCCATTTAGGCTTATTGTTCTACCCTGAAAAAGCAAATACCACATGTTTTGCATGCTGGGTTGTGGGTTCTCATGGCATTCGCAGACAAACCAAGGGACGAAGCATCGAGCCTTCGCCTTGCGCCGGAGCTTAATCTCCGAGGCCGGGCACAGGTGGCACCTGACGAATGGAGGCTGCGCAGGTGCCACATCCATTGCGGGAAACTTAGCCTGCCCAAAACATGTCCTGGATTAGCCCGGACATCAGCGGGGTACCCGGCAGAAAGCATTGGTAACATCAGGCCCGCTCCCACCTAGAAACAAATCGAAAGGAACCTTCTTAGACGGGGTTCTTAGAAGAATTCTGAGAACCTTTCGTGCCTTAGATCCAATCCTGGCGCTAAAAGAGTTGAAGAATCGGTGGAAACAACCAGAACTTCACTTCCAAAATGTTTCCGATATAACTCGCCCAAGGAACAGCTTCACAACAAAGCCTCCTTTCGGATGGTTCCCGAAGACAACGTTGCCTGAAGACACCCGACCTTGAACAACGAAAGGCTTGACTTGCAGTTCCAGGGTGGCCATGGGAAAAATAAGCTCAGGTGATATCCCCAACAGCGTGCGGTGCTCTTTTGAGTGCTCGCACCACCCCGCTTCAGGGCCGCCTCGGACAACCCCCGAGCCTATGTGGGATGACTACCCAAAAAGTTGCTTTCAGCTGTTGGAGAAAAACAAATCGAAACCGGGGAGTCTTGGCTTCAATCTCCCGAAGCCCTCGCCCCCGACCCACCTGCCGCATTCCGCGCCATGATGACAACCTGGTGAGATCCGGAAATCCATGGCTTGCCCAAACCGCGCCATATGGAAAAGGGGGGCCCTTCGCAAGAAACAAGACAGAGTTTGAAACAACACTCCATGGCATAGACATGTCCCAGTCAACAAAAACAAGATAACCAGGGTGGAACTGCAGCAGGTTGCAGGGTCGGGAACAACCAACTAGCGGACCGCGTCTCACTTTTTTTGCGCCGCCTCGGAGTGTCCGTTGAGTTTGGTTCCTGTTGCTGTCGTTTGGTCAGACTAGTCATGCTCCCCGATATCTTTGGGGAAATATGCTTCACACCTTGAGGAATCCAGGACAACTGGGGCATCTCGAGACATTCGGCTTCCCCTACCTGGGACTAAATTGTAATGTTCAGCACCACTTGAAGAAACACTGGTTTTTCGACAACTTGAGCATCAGAACAGCAGTTCGAACAAACAACGTTTTTTCTAACACCAAAGGGATTTTGCAACACGTAGTGTACATTGTACGACATGCGAACGGTTCTCGAACGGGAATTGAACAGGTTCTGAACGCTTTGCGAATGGTATTCCCAACGCCGAACCCCAGGCACGGCCAGTAATTGATGCAAAACGAACGGGCAGCAGGTAGTTTGTGGTTTGGATTTTGGTTTGGAGGTTAGGGTGCGTTTCCCTTTTACACTCCAGGACCAGGGTTCAAAACCCCAAATCACCAAGCCAAACCACCAAGTAGGGGCTACCTCATTCATGGCTTCTCAAAAGAGCAAGGGGGGGTGCAAAACAACGAAAGGACTGCTTGCTGATAGTGGGCATAGCGGCATAGGACCCAGACCCCAACCCAACCCCCCCTCCCCTGCTTTGCTCCGAGTTTGGGCTGAATAAATTGTTGGTTCTTAGTTTGCGGAAACGGGGGGGAACCTTGACAAAAAAGCCACGGAACCCTTTTGGTCTGCCCCCAGGAAAGAAGCTGGCCTTGCCATGAAAGCAAGCAAATGTGTAAAAAATGCATGGGAAAAAACCAACGCATCCTCCAGGCTCAATGCCTCAAACGGGCCCCATCATTTGGTTGCAGCAGCATGTTTTTCAACGTTGAGCCAGCGCATCGACTACAGCAGGACCCGCCGCCATAGTCATACCAGCGTTGAACGAAAGAGTTGCCAAACGAACTACGTCCTGTTGCATTTGGCATCCATCTCTCCCAGCCGCAGCCCTCGCCAAAAAATAAAATGTGTAACTTGACACTTGCCAATCTTGCCACAGGCCGAAAAGCTGTTCAATGTTGATAACAAGTGGAAATCACTACTGGGACCTGGCTATTGCGCACGCAGACCCAAGCAGAACAAACTTAAGCACGGTCCTTTTTGACGATAACTCCAAAAGGTCGCCCAGGCACAAGGATGAAGAGCTGGTATCAGCCTTGCTGCCGCTGGCCTCGCCTGGAGCCACAAATGAGATGGAGAGCAGTATTCGACGCTGCTCAGATGTATTGGCACTGCCGCAGTGCCACGTAAGCTGATCCATGAGCACACAGTCGCCAGCATGAAGTTCAAACCAAACAGATTCCCGCCCTGCGACTTGCGGTGCAGTGGGAGGCAGCCAATGCCCCTCTGGGAAGAAATGTGGCGCATGTGTCTCACGGTAGAAGCGTGTGGGTCCCATGCGCTCGTCCACAATGTCATGCAATGCCAAGAAGATTGTAATCAGGCGCGGTCCGCTGGCAGTCCAGGATCCATCACTGTGCACTGCCTGTGAAGCAGCACTTGGCTCGCATATGATGCCTGTCAACTCGCAAAGCTTGGCATCCTGCCCAACTGTGGCCAGAAGACTGGCGCCGACACTGCCAGACACCACTGAGCGCAACAAGGCCTCTACAGACGGCGAGAGTGGCATCATGAAGTCATGGCGATGCGATGTCTCCTTTATCGCTGTTGCTGGCGACGTAGCAAACCGCAGAAAGTGCCTCTCAGGAAGACCCGAACTGATCGAACCTGGCAGCGCAAGCATGCGCTCCAAATGAACGAGGAGCTCCCCGAGCACTGTTTTGCAGAGGTCCTTGGAGCCAGCAGCATGAGCTACGACCACACCACAGGCATTCAGGTCCATTGCCGCATGCTCTTGTGATGGAGATGTGCAAACAAGGCAATCTTGAGTGTATCACGTTTTGGTCATTTTAAAATGGAAACCACGAAGAACCCGTTGTTGTTGTTTTTTCTCGGGAAGGGGGGCGGCTAAAAAGACACACCGAAACATGCTTCCAAAAGTCATCAGAGTGCAGCACAAACATTCACACCAGGTAGGAAAATGCCTTGAGCGTGATGACAGGGATGGCCTCATGCTCATGCCCTTGTGCCTTCCTAGAGGAGGTATCAATCTAAACTATGTACTATGGTTCTCCGGTTTGCAATGAGATTTGTACTAGTAGCGTTGACCCCATATTCATTAACCCCAGTGTACTAATAGGTGGGTGTTTCTGGGTTTAGTGGGATAATGATTTTGCAGGTGAACACCCCCCAATTAATAAACTGGGGTTGACTAATATTGGGTCAACATTATCTGCCAGCAAAGGGCCTTCATCATGGGGCCCGCGCTTGGTGTACCCCATGGGCGAGCTTGCATTGAATCGTGTGAGCATACAGGTTTCTTAGCGCTCAAATTAAATATGGTTTCGGAAAATCAATTGTGATACCGCAATACGCCGTGATCTACTTTATCACGTTCACAGGAATTCCCTCGGCACACGAAGTGGAATCCCTAACACCAAATTTCCCACGCCCATGCACTCACCCGACGCACAAATAGGTAGGAGTTGTTGAGTCACATCAACAATCTTCGAGGGAATATGCCGAACACAGGTCCGCCTACATTGGAGAAATACTTGCCAACAACAGCAATGATACCCCAAACCTTGAAGCATGTTCAACCTGCTTCCCTTCTGTTGATCCCCCCAACTTGAGCAAACGAGCTGATTGGCCAGCCAAGAAGTGATGAGTCGCGCGGATTGGCCAACAGCCCACCCCAAGACCCGTCCGATTCCCCTCCGGCCTTGTGCCTTCCAAAACCAGGCGCAAGGAGCACACTGACCTTGCGAGGCTCGCTCGTTCCAATGGTCCACGGGGCCCAGGACCCGAATGGCATAGTCTACAGGAATTCAGCACAGAAGCCCAAACCCGTGGGTTTGGCAAATGGATTCTTTCCAAAAAAGCCAGCTACGCGAAGAACACCCTTCCCTAAGCATTCCCATGTCGTTCACTCTCAGAATGGTCAAGTCACTCATGCTGACAGTGCCGTGTGAACATGTTCCTTTTAAAGTATTAGGGGGCCTGTGGCCTGACCATAATGACATCCTTGTGGATACGCAAGGCGAGTGTATCCATCACCGGTTCAGACTGCAACATGAAGCGACGGCCCAACATTCGTTTTCCACCTCCCGCAAAAAGGACAAAGCCACCAAACAACACAGTGGCACGAAGAATGGCAAATAGACATGCACCGTTGCTACATGTTAAGCTGTTAAGCCACTGGCCCAAAGAACCTCTTACCCTTTCCTTTACAAAGCAAAAACACAGAACAAAATTGGCACAACCCTGCGGTACACAACAAATAATACGAGATGGAATGAACCAACCTGTCAAGACTGGCCAATACAAGTTTATTTGCTTAAGTTCCCTGGACAAAATGAACATGTCCAGTAGTGATAGATTCCCTTTAAAACCAACAGGGGAAAATAACAAATATTCTTAACCAAACGGAAGCAAGCAGTTGGGGCGTCCCATACTTTTGTTCCAGCCTTCCGCATGCAGCGCGGAGCCGCGCGACGGCAGCGTCGGCTGCGGAGGCTGAGGCGCCTGGAAAGGAAACTGGTACTGTGGATGGACAAAAATGGCGCCACTTCGGATGGACAAAACCCATAAATACTTGGATTAACCCCCAACCGGGGGGGATTAAAGGAATTTGTCCATCCAGTGTATGTAAAGTAAGGAACCCTATATTTCCCACACAAACAATTGGTCAAGAGGTGTAGAGGCTAAGCCACACGTACCGCAAAGATTCACTGAGGTGAACATAGGTAGTGTAGCAAGTGCATGATGAAACCAAACCAGCAGAGTTGTACCATTTATTCTCACCCTACCCAGGTTCACTAAAGCCAGCTTTCGCACCACTGCATGACAGGTGAGCTCAGCTTAGCCACGGGTGAGCTTGCTATAGACACATGCCTGATTGATGTTGGGCCAAAATACATGACTGTTTGACATCCTGGGAAACGCCCCCAAAAACCCAAACAAAACAAACAACAACCCAAACTCCCCCAGAGAGTCGGAGGTGCCCTCTCCCCAGAACCCAAAGGGACCCATGGCCTGCTGGGTCTGCTGCGCCAGCATCTGGCACGAACGAATAGCGGATTTGAATGGAAAAACAAACACCCCTGCTTCATTATTTTCTGGCTCTTCATTAAAACCAATGTTTGAAGGAGACCCCAGTCTTTTGGCAAATGTTCAAGATGTTAGCCGCCTTAAGAAAAAGAGCAACCACATTGAATCTTGTAGTTGAATTTTATAGGGTAGCTTCTCCCAGGAACGCGAAAAGGGGCACAGAGAGGATGGAACCTGATTGGATGCATTCTACAACTGTGAAACATGAACCTCTACATACCATATACGATATGTACATGCGGCTCCTTAGAGTCCTGGGCAGTTGCTATGAGCAGTGAGACCTGGTGCTCAGAGAACATGCAAACCCATACCGTTCGCCAGTGCAGTTTTCTATGATAAAAGCTTCCCTCAACCAAGGATCAAACCATGCGGATCAACGGGAGCATTGTTCCTGCCAAAATGTACACCCAGACTCCCCAAGGCTGCACCCTCGGTCAATCAGCCACTTTGCATATTTCTTGCGTAGCAAGACCAAACCAACATGGAAATGTGATTTCACTTTTTGCGAACCTTAGCTACATAAGACTAAATCAAGTAACCCCTGCAAGTGTGAGACTTTTGCTGCCGTGTTCAAAGCCCTGGGGAACGGCTTTTGTTGAATTTGATTGTGACCCCAGACCAAGTTTGAACGAACGTCTACCACCATGAACACTTTGCCAAACGTGGCCACCAGCAAAAACACATTGTGCCGACTTGTAAAACAACATGTGTCCCATGTCAGCACTATGTCCCAGGCGAATCAACATGTGCACAACTCCCCTAAAAGTAATCTAGATCCTTTTTGAAATGGGACGCACCACTATTAATCAACCGGTGTAATGGCAAGCCTGGATTAGAAAACCCCTGGTTGATGAATAGGGGGTGTCCCCTTTTACTGGGGTGCTATCATTTTGGAAGGGACATAAACACCCTGATTATTGGTGGAAACGGGAAAAACCCTCATGCAAACCAGCGGCCATGTCAATGTAGAAAAAGGGCATCCTTTTTGGGAGTTGACTCCAAAGCTTTAAATGGGGCACCACTGGAGGTCTGCGCTGACTTGACGGAGCATGGTGATCCTTGCCCTCAGGCCGAAGCGACGACCTCTCACCAATTCCTCAGCTAATGAGGCGGGATGGATGGCCTCCCCAGCAAGAAGCAGAATACGAATTAGCAGGAGACCAGCGAAAAGGGCCCCTGCATCTGCACAAACGGAAGTCTAGGTCAGCCGGCAGTGTGATTTGTTGACGCTTCCCTTTTCAAGCTTGGTAAGCCTACGCCGGTTGGGATGGATGAAGCCCTATGAATCGGAACAGCCGCCTACCACCTGGTGTGAAATGGATATGGTCCATCCACAGTATTTGACACAACCCCTTTTTGGTAGATGACTTTGGGGTCTCCTTCCAACAAAAAGCAAACAAAAAACAAAACAACATAAGAAGACAGGTCACCACTGGAGGGCCCTCGGGTGGTTTTCCCCTACGCCCTCGCCCCAGGCCCCCAGGGCCTGGGGCGGTTGCTGCGGGGGCGGCACCGGGGGCGCGAAGGGCCGCATCTCGTGGGCGGTGCGCCGCTCCCCGGCCTGCGGCCGCTGCCAAAAATGGGCGGCTTTTTGTTTTTGTTTTTTCATTCCACGTAGAGCCTCACAAGAAAGGCTACCTTTTCCCCCCCCCCCCCACCACAAAAGAAAGAAAAGGGAAAAACCAACTCACGGGCATGGGATGTATAGCAAAATGACCCCAGCTCTTGACCCTGACGAGTCACAGTTTCTAGGAAGAATGCAGCAACTTGAGGTTGAGGGGCAGCGAGAAATCGCAGAAATCCTGAAAACTGCCGGCAAGAATGGCTTTCTGTATGACCAAAGTGTGTGAGCGGAACTTTACAACCCTGCTGAATGGAGCGTGTGGACAGAATCAAACATCTATCCATCTCCTGCTGACCTCCCCAAATTAATCGACCTGGTGGACTAATTAATAGGGGGGCGGTCACCCATCCCACCATCCCCCCCCCCTGCCCCTACAATAGAAAAGAGAAGGAGTACCCTTCCATCCTGACCTTCAAGAGAACCAAAGGACATTAACAGTGAACGCTAATGGGGATCGAAGATGGACTTCGGAGCTCATCTCTTCGGGCGGCGCAGAACCCTGAAAATGGCACTCTTTTGCCTGAAAGAGAGGTTGATGAGGATCCGTAAACGGGGGTTCCTCTCATGGGGGTGTTCCAGAACCTTGGCACCTTGAAAAGCACAGTTACAAAAGGCCCATGTTGGGGGCCAACTATATCCTGCCTGTTCCTTCTTCCCTAAGGCTGACGATCCCAATGCAGCCTGCTGACCTTTGACAACATTCTATTTGGACGGTTTTGGCTCCTTTCACTGATCAAGAAACCAACTACCCGGAGTTGGTTCTTTGTGCACAACGTGTGAGCCCAACGACCATCAGTCTTAGAGCTTCTCCCATCCACTTCCGCATCCTCCCGCGTTCCCTAGTTGCCCCTGGTAGCAAAGGGAACCCCTTTTCGTGGGTTGCCCGGGAATCCACCCGTACATCACAGTGACCTCGTTTTCCCCCTGCGTCAGATTGCCATGAAGCGGAAGCGGTTTAGAGGGTGCCGCTAAACGGCTCGGGATGCAAGGTGTTGCGCAGCGGCCTCCCGTGGCATGAAGAAGGTGCAAGGCTGGATGCTGGAGCAATAGGTGCAGCCCGGACACATATTCCTCAGGTCTTCGCACGCACAGGTATAGACGACTGACCCACTGGTGCTTGCCCAATGGCATTACTTCGACGGATTTCCCCCATGAGATTCCGACCATTTTACCGCCCAAGATTCCCAGGCGGGCAAATGCATCCCCCCACTCCCGAATGCTAAAGTTCAATGCCCCCAAAAGCACAAAGCTAATGCAGCGATCTGAGCTCAGATCGCTGCAAAAGCGTCAAGAGCGCCCAAGGGCGAACCCCGCCCCCCCCCCCCAAGAAAACTCCATGGACCTTCTTGGGCCTTAGGCTGAAAAGGCGATGATAGCCGGAAATACCAGAAGTGCAGAGGAAAAAGAAAGGGCGGTGGGGAAAAGGGACCGGTTCACTTCCCTTTCGGTTTTCCTTGAAGGCACTGCCAAGAACATAGCTAGCTTCTGATTTAATGTAGGCTCGAAAGAGGAGTGTGTCGTGAAAGCCCGCGGGTGCCGTGTGTTGCAGGTAACTATGTCATAGTTGCAACAGAAAAGACAAGCCGCCGCCACGTCACCAGCGTTGCTAGACTACGTGAACAAAAAGCCTTGTCAACGGGTTACAATTCATGCACACAAGACAAAGGAACGTCACATTTCGTACATCACCGATCTGCACAAACTACAGTTGCCAACCTGAATTAAGGCCTCCCAAGAAAGCCTGATTGGTGAACTGGGTTAATCGAGCTGGCGACTTAGTGCAAACAGGATTATCCTCCACTTTTAATCGCGGGCAAATACAATTTCGATGTTTCCTGTAACACTGTAGGGAGGCCCCCCTTCAACCCTGAAAAGTCGTGTCCCGTTCCCATGGATTGGGAGTTGCATCAATGGTTAAACCGTCTGCCTTTTGGAAACAGGGGACTGAAGGTCTCACTTTGGGACACACCGACTCTTGAGACCTGCACCCGGCCCACCCGGCCACTCTCCCCCGTCCGACTTGAACTCCGCTTGAGTGGATTGGCCACAAGAAGTTTGACACCAACAGTCTCCCAAAATAGTATAGTTGATGAACTCAGGGAGTGGGATAGAAGCAGAACCCATGTATACAAGCACGTCGTAGACATAGTATACATTGTTCTTTGCAGCCCCAATGTGGATTCAATATGTCCGAGAAGACATGATGTTTGCGAAGCAGCCGCCGAGGGAAAAGCACGGATAACTGTTGCACCCCTTGACTTGCCAAAGTCTCTGGCACAAAAGGACACGCGTGTTGGGCTGGCTGAATCTCAAGAGGAAGGCAAATGTATGAGTTGCAAGTGGGTTACTTTAAGTGAAGCTTCATCTTGGCCGCGGCGTGAGCTTGCTGCATGTTCGACCAGGGTGTGAGCAAGGTAGGGTACTGCATGGGCACCTGGCCAATTCGCAAAGCGTGCGTGAGGACTAATGATTATCCTTGCGCCGACAATATCTAGATGCGAGCTCATGATATAAACACTTGTTGTTGTTTCTTCGCCCCCTGCTTCATAATTCTGGTATGCAGCACCTCCATGCTTCTATGTGCATAGTTGCCGCGCCGCGTCCCCACATGGTGCGTTTCTCATACACATCCAAAACAGGGATCCTCTCCCGATTTGTGAAAGTTCGTGCATTCCTGCACCCCCCCTTGCCGGTTGAGGAATGCTATCACCCTCTTGCAAACCCAGCAAGGTGCGGACGACAAGAAGCTTTCATCTGGGCAAGTAGCCCATGGGATCAGTCTGCATGTGTTATTCTAAAGGCACAAGCAACTGGGAAAGTATGGTTCTGCAACACCTCGTGTTTGCCTAGCCGGTTCTTCCATTTGCTTAAGGTGCCACCGAAACAATGCAACCATTTCCTCTTATCACCAAAAAAAGTGTGGGGTGACCTTCTTTGCAAACACATCCTTTTAGCTGGCCTAAAAAAAGCTGCCCCCGCAAGGAAGCCGTTGCACCCGCTGCTGGAACAAGCGGGGCCACCGTGTGGCAGTTTCTGAAACGCCGAAGACGAACCAAAGTACCAAAGTTGCCCAAAGAACCTGGGAGTGCAAAAGAACACAAAATAATCCAAGGGACGCAACAGAGAAGCTGTTCGAAGAGGCTTGACTCGCCTGGGGTTTCATGTTGAAGCTGCAGGTCCAGCCAAAGCCGACCCAAGACATCGAATAAGCTTTCTTTCGGTGGACTGATGTATCACGGGACATGTCGATTTACCAAGCCCAGGGCATGCTTCAGGTCGCAACCACCTTGAGGTGGCTGGCGCAAAAAGGAGAGGGCCAAATTACTTGCAAGATTAATATGGTGAAGGGCCGGGTCCTGCAGTTTCTTGTATGCTATTGGGGTCACCCCTTCCATCCCCTCCCCTCCCCCCCAAAACCAACAGAACTACCAAACACATTGCCAGTTGCTGATGTCTACCTCCGCTGTTGCCCGAACAATAGAATAGTACTTATTCTGATTGTGGTCCACGTTACAATGTTTACAGGACCTTAACATGCACAGGAGTTTCCAGAGCATGGAGTGATTTCCCCCTGCTGTCTATCATCGAACCCTGCCTGGACCGCTTGCACCGCCTGGACGGCTTGGTACATCACGGGCACCATCTCCGGCTCCGGCTCCTTTTATGGGACTTTTGGCGCTCAGATTTGTGTTTTTCGTGTTTGTTCTTCTGGTCCAGCTAAGAGCACCAAAGCCCAGGCCTGCTTCAGGTGTCCAAGGTGGTTTGTGGAAATGGGGAGGTGGGCCAACCAGTCTGGACCCAGCGGCGACCGAGGATTCGCAAAAAGGAGCTGGGACCCCGATGTTGGCCCCTTTGCTGATCAAGAAAACCTGCCTAACTCTTGGATTTCTTAGCTGGAAACATCTTTGCACCACAAAAAGGAACAAAAGGGAAAAGGAAAAGAAGGCAAGCCAAACCAACACGCAAAGGAAATGAACAAGCCAAGCCAACCCAAACCAACCCAAACCAACCCAAACCAACCAATCTAAAGAACAATCAAACAAACAAACAATGCAAAGAAACAGAGCCGAACATTTTGCTGACGATGCAAAAGTCATGCTCCCCTCCTTAGCACAACTCCCCTTCTACCAGGCGAACTGGTGACGAGTTGAACACCTTTCATGGATATAGACTTTATGGGACCCGACTTTATGGGACCCGCAGCCGTCCAACAAAGGTCAAAACTGAGAGCTCCCCCTCCTTCTTGTTTTCCCGCCCGAAAAAAGTGAGGCGCGCCTTGGCGCGCAACGCCGCCACCTTCTTCTGCTTCCTGGCCTTGGCCTCCCCAGCAGGGCAAAGGTGACCTCTCCGCCGGCAGGGCTGGATCGAAGCGAAGGGGAGGAGTCCGAAGGAGACATGGGTGTGTCATTTTGTGTTGATAGTACCCGTCTTGGGGTCCTTTCAGAGGAAAACCCAAAACACGTTTTCTTGTTGTTGCGGGGGGCGTGGGGCCAATTTGAGACAACCCAAATGGGAAACAGTGCTTAGCGGGTAGGGGGCCCTACGTTAGCCGATGCTGCTCCCTTCCAGATTCATAGTTGCTTCTGAGGATTGCCACTCCAGAACCCAACAAATCAGGTAGCCAACGCAAGGCCAGTTCATTTCTACATGTGTCCCTCGTTTGTCTAGACAATCAAGGTCCGAAGGGCGCCCTCCTGCAAGGGCCCCCCGAACACAAACCGTGTCTGATGCAGTGTGGCCCTCTCCCGCTACAGTACTTTCCTATCGCAGCTCTATTGGCCGGACAGGGGCCGGAAAGGACAATGGACTGACTTGGGCTGGGAAGGCCAGAGCACCACAAGCAGAATTGCGGTTTTCCAGAACCTCGGTTGACCTTGTCAGGCTGATGCATCACCACTAAAATTGCCTTCCCCAAAAGTCTAACATCCCAACATTTGGCAGGAAAACACGCCCAAGCCGGAAAGAAGGGACGTTCCTTCCAGGAACGGACGTTCATGGATGAAGTTGCTACACCCCCTGGGTGAGCTCTTGACAATCTGCCCAAATCTCCAAAGCCCCAAACATAAAAGGTTTGCTTCTGAAATGGCCCCCCATTTATATACCCTCCTTCCAGCCACGGCAAAGGTGAACGGGGAAGTCGGTTTCACAAACCCTGTGGTCCAAAATTGTAGCCACTCATCTTGGGTCAGGGCCGGTTTATCCCCCCTTCCCAGGAAAAAGGGGCCTTAGGGCTTTCCGGACCTTAATTGTCGTCCACCTTTATGAAGTCCATCTGGTGGGGGGGCCTTCTGGACAAGACCTTCGCCACCCCCCGGTTCCGTGGATGCACAAAATCCCCTTCGCACCAGTGATGGAAGCCCGTGATAAGCCTGAAAGCCACCCACCGGAGCCGATCGCGAAAGAGTTTGGCCCAGTGGCAGTGCCCGCAGCTCTGCGCGTTGCGACAGCCCTCCGCCTTCCAGAACCAGGCGCAAGGCTTGCACTGGCCTAGACGGATCTCCATCGCGGAAACGAGATCCATGCTCGGCTTCTCGGCTGTTGTTTCTTCGTCTACCTTTGACTCATGGACTTGGATGGCGGGTTGTTCAGGGGGCGAAGTGCCCTGACATTCAATCCTGCAAAAGAAGCTTCTGATGGATCAGAGGGCACCCAAAGGCCTGCAAAAGAAAGAAGCATAAACAAAACAAATAATTAAACAAATAAGCAAAGAAAGCAGAAACAAGCAACGTAATTATGAACTACCCAAAGAACAGCGAAAGAAAAGAACGCAACAAATAAAAGAAATAATTGATTGAGGAACGAAAGGCAAAAATAAATAAGTAAAGAAAGAACGCAAGAAAGAAAGAAATAACGAACGCAAATACGACAAACACCAAAAACAAGACAGAAAGACAGGAACACATAAAACAGAAATAACGAGAAAGAAAGGAAGGAAGGAAGGAAGGAAGGAAGGAAGGACGAAAGAAAGAAAGAAAGAAACAAAGAAAGGAAGAAAGAAACAATCAAACAAAGAAAGGAACGAAGAAAGGAAGAACGAAACAAAGACAGGAAGACAGAAAGACAGAAAGACAGACAGAATAAATATATAAGTAAACACATAAATAAATAACAAAGGAAATAAATACATAAACAAAAGATACATAAATTAATAAATAAACAACGCAAGAAAGACATAAGTAGGAAATCACGACATAAAGAAAGACGTACATGAAACAATCAATAAATCAAGTACTAAACAAATAACATAAACAAAGCAATACCGAAAAAAAAAGAAGAAGAAGGAAACAGCGAAAGAACCGCATAACGAAAGCATGTAACAATGAAATCAACATACATAAATAAAAGGCCTACATAACAAAAGCAAAGCAATAACAACTAAGGCAACAAAGGAAACGACACAGTTGATAAGCCATCAAACAACAATAACTGAAGAAAGAACCACATAAACAGAAACACGGACAAAGCACAAAGTACATAAAGAGCAAAACATAAATAATAAAAGCTGCACATGCTAAGAAGAGAGAGGGAGAGCACAAATGCCAACCATCACCACACAAATATATACATTTGTACAAGACATGTAGAGCTTTCCAACAGTGGCACCGTGGCAACTCTTTGCTTTGGTTCGCCGAAACAAACAGATTCGAACGCTGCAGTCATGGCTCCAGCCTTAGGGTTGTTACATCATCCACCTGAACATTGGCCCGGCATGGTTTTCTTCTGGTCTGGTGAAAAAGGCAGTTGAGTTCAGAACCTGGCCACGGTTCAAATTTGTCTTCGTTTCGCTTTGCCCTGTCCATTGACATCATCAATATTGCATTCTAAGTGGTGGTACAAAGATAAAGTCACCCCAAAATAAAATTTGAGAACCCCTTAAAATTCAGCCACTTTAAGCGACCCCGTCCGAAAAGCGACCAAAACGGGTGGGGGGGGGCTGCGAAACACTGTGTATGCCCACGCCGTCCCACGCCCCCCATCAGCCTGTGGCATGAAGCCGCGACCCCACAGAGGGCAACTCGCTCTGTGCTTCTTGCTCCTCATCGCTGTCCGGGCTTTCCGCCCGGGCTGCAGCGCGCTTCGCCTGCCGAGTTCCGGCCACCAACAAACCAAAACATGAAGTCCTGAAATTCACATGTCGGAAACTAGATATAGATGTATTATACAAACATACATATGTTACATATGTACATATGTATATGCATTATATACATGTTTATATATATATATATATGTATATAGATAAATATCCTTGATTGTCCCCTATGATGTTGGCCGCCTTTGTGGGACAAACAGCAACAGAGGCCTATCCCTGGTTCACAATTTGTAGTTTGGTTACCCCATTTCTGTGATTGAGACAACAAACAGTACAGGTTGGCGCGCACACAAACACACACACACACACACAGGGCATTAACATCCCCGGTATCACAAATAGTGGCCCTGACACAGTATTTTCTGGTGCAAACTGCTGAAAGTCCCAAACCGGAATTGAAGGACCCCCTCCAGTGAAGGACCTTCATCATGGGTGAGCTTTAAGCCTCAGGTGTGCCTGTTGTGTCCCTTTTGCTTCGTTTTGCGGACCCAAACAGGATACCTCCACGCCCGCCATTGCCGCAGGCCGCCTTCTGCTCGCCCTTGCGGCGCTTGAGCTCCCCGGCAGGGCACAGGTGGCAACGGAGGCAGGCGGCGCCGTTGAGGCAGCCCTGTGGCTTCCTGGCGAAGGCCAGGGACCCCTACCCTGGGGAGCTCCTTTTTCAGAATCCCCCCAAAAGAAACATAGCGCAACGGTTTGCCTGATGACTTCATTTCTGCTTCATTTCCTCTTCATTTCCCTTTTATAACGTATTATCGTGTTTTCGTATTTTTGGTTACTCGCTGTTAGATTGCTTGTTTCTTATCGCGGTTTCTGTCCTTCTTTGTCGCGGTAGGAAATGGTAACGCTTATAGCGGAAGGACCCCCGTCTCTTTGATTTTCCCATTCATTTCTCATTTCTTCTTCAATTCCCCTTCATTTCTCCTTATCGGGTTTTCTCCGTTTTCCTATCGATGCTATTTCTTGATGCTTCTCTTCATTTCCCCTTGATCCTCCCTTCATCCTGTGTCCTGCAAGGCCATTTCATTGTTATGTCGTTGTTCTTGTTCCTCTTGTCGTGGTTAGACCCCCTTACTACTTTTTTTGAAGCCACAAATAAGGGTGTAATCGGAAAAGGCACCACCCACATGGTTAAGTACATGTATGAACTGTCTAGGCATCCTTCAAAGGGACCTTCCTAAAGAGATGCGTTTTGACGGTGTTTTGCATGCTTCAACATGTGGTAATGGTTGAGACTCATGGGGTGCTGGTTCAGTAATTTGATAGCACGTGGTTAAGTACCTGGTTGTAATGCTTAGGCATTTTCAGGTAATGCTTGAAACACACTCTCGCGGGTGAATTTAAGGGTCAAACCCCCACCAAACCTGTAAAGCCGGGGTGAATGGGGCGAAATAATGTCGATTTTGGATACATCCGAATACTATGCTCCGGGGTGATTCCCATTTCAGTGGCATGGCATGGTCGTCCGGATTGCATAATCCCAAGCTAACATTGATTGGACCTCCCAAAAGCTTCAGAACACAAGACAAAATCTGGACATCCACCCAAAAAAGGTCGGGGGCATGTTAGGAGTTTGGAAAATGTGCCTTGGTGACCCCTTGAACTGTCGTCGCGAAAGGAAGCCCACTTAGACTTGCAACCGCAATAGGGCGGTCAAAACAACGCAAAACAAGCTCACTTACAAGTGTTTTCGTCTGAACTGGTCTACAGAACGTCCAGGGACTTGGCGCCATCCTTTGGCTCTAGGAAACCTAAGGAAAACCAAGCTCTTTGGAGGTGCCCGGAGGTCCAAAGGAGCACCCAAACCCGTGCGCGCAGAGGCTCCAGAACCAGGCACAGGGCAAGCAGCCGCTCCCGTGCCGCTGGGAGCCCACCGAGGGCAAAGCCTTCGCATCCTCGAGGGAAAGAATCAAGGAACCTGCTTCCCCAAGCACCAACCAACCAACCAACCGACCGACCGACCAACCAACCAAGCAACAGACCAAAGAAAACAACCTGGCTATTGAGCCAGTTCTTTGCTAAAGGAGAACTTGTTTCATCAGAAAATGGGAGAATCGATTGTTTCGGTGGTCGCGCCAATGTTGCAAACGTCATGGGGAGCCACAACCGAAGGGCCAACCAAGTACCAGGGTTGTATATATATATAGTACGTATGTATCTACAAACAGGTAGGTAGACATGCACTCGGGATCTGTGTCAAACTTGTTGTTTCCCTCTAAGAAAACCTCCGACAGAGTGAGCCAACCCTCCCCTAAAAATAAAGAGAAAGAAAAGCACAAACAAACACACACAAATCTATGTACCTGCTGCACCCCCAGGAAAAGTGAGCAAACTCCTTCCATACTGACAGTTGCCGTGCAAGGGGCCCTGAGCACTTCCATGTGTATGGGTGGGAGACCCTGTGAACAAAACATAACCTATACGCATGACAACTTTCAAACATCTCAGTTGGCATGGTAAAAGGCCTTTGCACCTCTTATTTGCTGGCTGAGTCCAAAGTGAAACCTTCAAACAGAAACTACGGCCACTGAGCATTTACACCAAGCTAAAAATAGGTGGCACAGTCCTCTGGTGGGAAAGTATGGCGGGAGTGCGGGCCACTTTCACCCGACCACCAGCACTTTGCTTTCTTGCCAGCGTGCCCTGAGGCAACTGGGCATTTACTTGCTGCTTCTCAGAAGGGCATTGAGGAACCATCCCCCTGCATTGTTTCCTTTAAAGGGATATACCCTTCTTTCCCAAGGGATCCATTAGTTCATTCCCGGCAAAGAGCGGAAAGTTTGGATGGGAGACGGCGGAGAAAACCAAAACAAAAGCACACCTCACTCTTTGGCACAGGCTATGCTTTGGTTCTGATTCTGCTGGAAGGAAAGTTCCTGCAGCAGGTCATGACATTTAAGCAGAGACAGGTCCAGTGTTTCAGTTCATTCCCAAAGCCGTTGCTCCCCTCAGAGCAACGAGCCCTCCGCCCCCGTCCTCCTCTTCCGAGGCCTCGGGGTGCTCGGGCTGCTCCGGCGCGCAGGTGGCGGGAGTCGAGGGGATCGTGGCCTCGCGGCCGAGTCGAAGCTTCGAAGCTGGGGAAAAGGAGGGCAAACCACCAGTACCTGGATCTAAAGTTTACATAACGTTACATCAAAGAAGGTATCTGGGTCCATGGAAGTTTACCTCACCCTGGGCCGAAGTTGCAAAGTTACCCTCATGGTGGTTTAAACTTCAAGCGTCGCGACTCAACAATTACTTTGAGGACCCCACATGTTCAATTTGACCCATGACATGTTTGTGGGAACATGCTTCCATGACCACTTTGTCACTTTGAAGCGTGTTTTCCACAGCTATGACACTATTCAGGCTTTAGTGTGTGGACCCCATGACAACCATCATGATGGGTAAACTCCAAGCCAGGCATCGGGTTTCATCATCAGCCCAACTCCATAAGGAAACTGATCAAATATCAACTCAGTCCTCTACCAAAAGCCAAACCATCCTGCAGAACACCTGGCTACTAAATGTGGGTCCTGAAACAAAGTCCATCTCCTCGTGGCTTTCTGACACGCAACTCCAAACCATTTGCCCCTGGAGCCCAGGACGCGTAAAGGTTCCTTGCCTGGCGTGGCCATCCACAGCACTGCCAAGGGATTTTCCCCAGCCCCTCCACAGTTTCTTTCATCACAACAACAGTCTCGTGTTTCAACCTTGTCCCGTGCTCATTTTCCGGCTGTGAATGCTGAACTGCCAAAGCGCCACTTCCCCCCTCCCCAAACGCTTTCTTGCGAGATAGGCTGAAGATGCTGAAAGCTGAGGCTGCTGAGCCCCTATGCAGATCCTCGGGAAACAACCGTTTACAGGCCATAGACCTTTTGACGCCCAGGCTCTCGGGGCTCCTTTGCAAGATTGGAACGTGCACCTGGTGTTTCCCGCTGTCGCGTTGTTCAACAGTGTTCCCTTCATACCCTTCTTGGGTTGGCCTTTTCTTTGACACACAAGGCAAGGCATAGTTGGGAAAACGCAGAGAATAACAACCGCAGAGGCACATAGAGGAACAAGGGCATCTTTATAAATGTCTAGTTCCCGGCCAGCAACCCAGAAGGCTTTGCCAATGCGACTTTGAATTGAGCCCAGCTCTGAAAACAATTGACTGCTGAAGTGAAACCTCCCTGCAAAACCTACAACTGCACACCAAAAAAACTCACAATTCGTGAAATCTAAATCGAGCAACCGCAGCCACCCAGCCAGATTTTAACAAGAAAGACGCATTAATCAGGACCTTGCTCAAAGTGCGGTGCCACCAGCCCAAGGAGCCACGCGCAAACACCACAAGTGCTAAAAACGACTTGGAGTTCCATGATCAATCCCGAGTTCTGGATCTCATTGGCCTGAAAGGCCTCTGGCCTCCAATTGCTCAAGGGCACAGAACTTGGCAAGACTGAGGCCTGCAAAGAATTCAAACTTGCTGGCTAGAGAAAACAAAAACATGGCAGTCAAGTCTGGCTTTGACAATTGCTGCCCAGCGGCACACTTCGCCTCCTCCTCAGCTGAAGCCGTCCTGCCGGAAAGAGGTGCATCTTCCCAAAAGTAAAGGAGCGAGTAATATACAAATAGAAAGTTTAGAAGGGTCTAGAAAAGTCAAACGTCCGTTGTGGTGACTGGAAAAGTCAAACGTCCGTTGTGGTGACACCTTTTAGACTTAGAGGCTCGGACCGACAGTCTTGGGTGTTCGTCGGGCAACAAGTGGGAACCACCAAGAGAAGCAGATTCTACGGGTCCTGCTAAACAACTGGATCTAGGTTGTCTTGGATCAGGTGCGACAACCGGGAGGGTATCAAATTTCAAAAGCCCGTTTGTGCCTTGAGGATAGGTTTTGCATGCAACCAAAAAGGGCCCAACCAGGGCTGGGACGTGCCCATAAAGGCCCACGTCCACTTCCACGACTGGCCCAGACCCTCAATTTCCAGTGGACGAAGGTCACCCTTCGATGGCCGCCTTCAAAGGGAGCTGCAAACAACCCACTATCCCAGCATTGCAGCATGCAACGCAAACATCCCGTTCCAACACCAAATCTGAAAGAGACTTCTTCGTTTGTTTTTCCTGAATGGGTTGGCCCACAAGTCTGAGTGTTGCTGTTTTAACTACAAAAAATACTCCTAAAACATGTCAAGTCTGGACACTTCGGAACTGAGATAAAGACCCTGCAAGTCTTTGCAGATTCTTTACAGTAAGTCATTCGACCAAAGGCCTTGAAGCGGGCCGGGGAGGGAAGTGTCCATTTGGAGCCAGTCGAACCTTAAATTCATTAAACAAAGCGGCGACCTGACTTGCGCCCGCCGAACAGACATGTGCCTGGTTGGCTCATCGGCCCATCGCCTGGTATCGGTCCGTCACTGCGAGTCGGCCCCACACCCCGTCCCCCGAAATGAACCTGCACCAAAAATGTGCCAAATGGTTGGGAATATTGATGACCCTTTTGCCCTCAAATCTCAAGTTCGCGGCATTGTCCCAAGGCTATTCAGAAACTCACCGGTGACCTTCCGCAACAAAGTTTCTTACAAACAAGGCTTGCCTAAACATCCAAAACCTCCATTTCCCCAAGGTGCAGCTAGACATGAAGCAAATACCACTGCCGGTCGGTCAAACGGATTCTCCACCAAACCCAACGAGCTTTTGCTCGAACACCTTCGCCTGGTGGTGGTGGGGGGTGATATTGCGCATTCCTCTACGCCCAGCGTCCAAGTGCGCATTCCTCCACGCCCAGCGTCCAAGTGCAGAACCCATTTGCGTGCCGGTCAGGAGGACCAGGATATAATTTGGGTGCCTCCCATTGACCAAACTCAAAGCAAGGCTTTGCTTCGAAGGAAGACTTGGACGTAGCAAAAACTGTCTCAGACCCCTAGTGAGCGGAGCCATGGCGAGAGCATGTCCTATGGTCTGAATCAGCTCGTCCCAAAAAGGGGGTCGCGGCTGAGGTGCTTTTCTTTTTTTTTGCATAGTCCTGGCATTAGCCTGGCATAGCCTGGCGTGCACGCAAGGAGACACTAACGGTTAACATCCTCAGCATCGTTTTCAACATCCTCAGCATCACCAGGTTTTGGTTTAGGCTGGGTTTAGGGTGGCTTCCAGGTGGCTTCCAGGTTGGCCCGGGTGGTGGGTGGCACCTACCTTAAACCACCT